GGCAGTCCTTGCATTAACGAGTATGTTTTATGTGATAGAGGAATTAGAAGTTAAATATTGGCTCAATAAGTCTTTTAAGACTTTTTCTATTTGCAGTGTTAGCCATTATTAAACAATAATGTTTATGTAAATTATAGTGCTGAAACCTTTTCAGTATCAGAAAATGTTGCCCTGAAAACTCATTAACTTTCAGCCACCATGTTCACAAAAAAGTACGAGACAAAATAGGTGCTGAAGGCAGTGCTACAAGCTGAGTACAAATCCAGGCAATAAGAGGACATGGTCAGGTTCAGGAAGGCATCACTACTCACTGCCTTCCCCTGTGAGCTCTGTGAAGAACGAGGGGAGAGCCAGAATTCTGGGGGAAAGACCATCTTTCCAAATAGCAGAGGGGTTTATTTTTATCCTGGCTCTCAGGAGAACTGCATTCTCTACATGTAAATGTTTAAAGTGCATATATCAGCTGGACAGATGAGGATCTGATTTTCTTGGGCGGGATTTAGTACTTTTAACTGCTATGTTTCTATATCTTAATAGCGTAGTGAAGCAGCCCTTTCTGAGGAAGTCCCTAAGTTCCATAGACAGTCAAAAGGAGGAAGATAAATGGCTTTAAAGCACCAGAAAAAGTCATGTACACCTAACTCCTGTACTCAAACTTTGATGAGTAAGAACTCCCTCTGGAGGTTTTCATGATCACCTAATACTTTCCATTGACAATAAAGTGAATTTAAGCATTTCAGAAAAACTCGTCTTCAGAGTCTTAAAATATGGCTCTGTTAGGGATGCATAATTTGGCCGACCAGCATCCAACAATGCACTTCAATACATAAATTACTGTGGCTTTGTAAGGACAAAATGTTGTCAGGTACAGATTCTAACCACAAAGATAAAGGAAGAAATTTGGATAAAACATTTCTTTGGTGACTGATTTCATGAGAACATAAAATGTTCAGCATTTCACATTGTAATAGCCAGCAGAAGGCTGGAATTCTTGAAGTTCCCCAAGCTATATTACACCTGGATGGAATACTAAAGCAGAAAAGACAGTGAAGCCAAGCAGACAGCATGGATATAGCAACACTGTTGGCAGACATTCCTGCCACATGGAGGAATTAAGAAAGTGTTTGCTGACTCCACTACCTAATGACTCTGAGCTGGTACAGGAAATCATATCCAGAACCAACAAAGCAGTAATAATAATAACAGTAATATGGAATTTCCCATACTTTTCTGCATTCTAAGGCAGACAAGCTATTAAATTCACTACAGCCATGCTGTCTTGTAGGCAATCTAGTAGCAGCAAGAATGACACTGAGCTCTGGAGGCCTAATCTCACTGAGCAACAGTCAAGCCATGTCTCCTCGATGTGCCCTTTCCAGGCCAGAACTGCAGTCAACCATACCCACCCAGTGCACTCTCCTGACCTTCAACCTGATGTTCTGACTCCAAGGCAAAGTCAGTACTTATCTGGCTGCAACTGTATTTAGAAAAGAAAAGAAAAGAAAAGAAAAGAAAAGAAAAGAAAAGAAAAGAAAAGAAAAGAAAAGAAAAGAAAAGAAAAGAAAAGAAAAGAAAAGAAAAGAAAAGAAAAGAAAAGAAAAGAAAAGA